ATAAGTCTGGGGGTTCCAACCGCCACCCCGGCTATTACGTCAGCCAGCTCAGGCAGGGCTGTTGATACATAGCAGGGAGCCAGGTATATAATCAACAAGCCCACTTGAACCCCTTGCCCCCATTTCACAAGGAGGGACTCCACACCGTCTATCTGAGGCACAGTGGTCTCCCTTGGGCAAAGGCTCTCCCTCATAATGATGAGTGCAATACTGTAGCAGCAGATTTTTGTGGTACCAAGGAATTCAGATCTGTTACAATTATTAACACCATTGTTAATAATGTGGGATAAAGAAGTGAAACACTTCGTATAGTCTCTGCACTCTTTTTTGAAGCTTGATCCAGAATTAAAATGTTCCATGCTAATTGAGATGAATACAATGGTCACAGTAGTAAAAACTAAAGAGAGGTTGAGGAGGATAAACAAAAATCAAAGAAACCAGCTTAGAATTGATTATTTATTATACTGATTTTTATAACCACCCACTTTCCAAATTGTAAGTCTGGGTAGTGACCAGAGTTGGCACTCTCTGAGTTCCTTCAATTAAACAATATCATTTACTGGGCTTTGGAAGTGCAGCATCTCTGTAGTGGTTCCTCCCAAGATTTGGATGGCCCCCATTCTGCTGCTGTTTACAAAATCCAGGCCTTTGGGTGAGGGAGAGTGACAACCCTTGCTTCATCGCACTTGCCATCTTTTATCTCTATCTTTTATTGACTTTTTTTGTAAGTAATTTCTTTGTTTAATTGTGAAACATCCAGAATTGTTGAATTGGGTAATGTACAAATTTAATGCAAGCATTATTATTTTAAAATATTTTGATTCTATAATATATATGGATTTATAGGATTAACCATTACCTACACAACATGATGTAGTTGCTACTTAGCCAGCATTTACAAGCCAGATCAAAATTTTACAGTCTTCAGATGTGAGGATATATTATCAGAAGATTTCTTCAGTCTAAAAAATAGCTGCAAGTCCTCATTTGAAGTAATCAGAAATAACTGGCAAGAAGAACCTTTAAAAGTAATGGGATTTATTGAGATATGAAAGTGGTTTGATAACAACCACATGTCAGCCTCAATCAATATATCAACACTCAAGCTACCAGTATATATGGCGTTTACAAGGGTCTTGCAATCTAAAACAGACAAATATGTTAAATTTGCAAGTACATAGTTTATATGTTTTTCCTGTTTCTAGCTTTTTATTGTTTCTTCACACACAAAAGGATGACTCTGTGTGAAAGCTAAATTTTATTGCCTCTCTTTCTTGTGTTTTTCTACTGCATCATAGTAATTTAGGGTTTCCATCTCTTGGTTATACTTAGCTTTTGGCTCCAACTTTTTCTGTGAATACATTCATTCTGGGAAGGATAGAATAATCCCTAAATTGATGAGAAATTCTTTTTTGTGTCTCTGTTACAAGATATAGTTTGGTTTTTTCTATAGTGGCAGCAGTCTGGAATAGCAAGAGGTCTTTCTCCTGCACTCCTGTTTGCCCCACCATAGACCATCATATTTAATAGCAATATTGTAGTTTTACAGATTCAGTAGAGTTTTTTTACTGCCAAAGAATTCACTGTGAGATAGGATGCACATACCAAAGGGCTTGTAGAAAACTAACATAACAAGACAGAAATATTTAAACCATAATGGTTTTGTTTAGATGCTTTATTGGCAGAACTGGAACAAACCACGGAGAGCCTGAGTGTGAATGACTCAGACCCAAATGTTTGCTTTCTTCTGGAGCGCAACAACAAACCAAAACCAGTGGCAGCAACAGCAGAAAGCCATCCTACCCAACACCCAAAATCAACACCTCAAGAAGCCAAAAAGGTATTTTCTTTAAAATATATAAGGAAGTTAAAAGTTATGAAAAGAAGTGCTCACAAAGTTGACCCTATTAGAACATTCATTCTAGCCCTTGTCTCATCCCTGTTCTGATGTATAACAGATTCTTTACTGAGAAGTCCATTTGCTTGCCTTTCTCTCCAATTTGTACCTGGAACACAGTTGACCATTACAACACGTAGAAGAACTGGTTCCAGAATGGGAGAGGATAGTTTAGACTAGAGCAGTGGTTCTCAACCTGTGGGTCGGGACCCCATTTGGGGTCGATCAACCATTTCACGGGGGTCGCCAAGCAAGGCTGTCGGCCATTTTTTTGTCCGCCATTTTTTCCCCCTTTTCCGGCGGGTGCCTTACCTTCCTTGGGCTGGGCCAGCTGGTGGTCGGCCTGCTCCGTCTCTGCCGCTTGCCAGCTACGCCTCAACCGGCGCAGGGGGCGGAACCACGCATGCGCGGTGCTCCCGGGCAGGGAAAGTCCTCAACTTACGACCGGTTGGGTAGTCCTCGACTTACGACCGGTTTAGTCCTCAATGTACGACCGGTTTAGTCCTCGACTTACGACCGGTTGGGGTCGCGGCATTAAAAAGGTTGAGAACCACTGGACTAGAAGCTGCTTTAGAAGAACAGGGCAGTGCAACATTTTCTGAATGGCTGAAGTTATCAGCATAATAATAACCAGAAACCAAGCATTTTCTTTAGGCAGTATTTTTACACATATCTGCTGTATATATATTTCCAGGTAGAACCAGCACACAATGTTCAAACCCATAAAGAAGATGCAGGTAATATTTACAGGTAACTATTATTACAGAAAAAAAGATAAACAGACCTCAAATTATTCTACTGTTTTGCATTTCATGTCTTCTAAAGCTGTGTCACTGTCCTCACTTCTCTATGCTTACTAAAAAATTTAGAAAGATCGATTTCATTACAAAAAGCTCATTTCCAGTCTGTAACATGACATTTTAATCACTTTCCCATGGATTAAATAAAGGTTTCTTAGCACATTTACCAATGTAAGAATGTCTGTTTTTTTATCCAATAGATCCTATCTATAGGTTGATGTTACCAAGGCACATTTTGCATTTTGATAGAATGTTGTGGCATCTTATTGGAATGAGATGGAGCTTGCCCAATAAAAAATGTGTGCTAGAGTGTGTTTGGCCAGTTATATACATAAAAGGTTATCAATTCTCCTTAGCCATTAATTCTAGGTTACTCACAATCAGCTTCTAGTAGAATGCTACAATTGAGTCACTTTATTTCAGTTTCTGAGTGTTAACATTACCAAACTGATAGTTATAACATTAATTTTCAAAACAGGGAATTGTTGGTATTTTAAATACCATTTAATATTTATCTGTACAATACTCACAAGGCTGAATGTAAATATATTCTGAGTCAGAAATATAAAGCACTGGAAATTAGTCATCCTTATTTCCAAGAACCCTGGATGATTTAGTATATAATGTAATTTTTGGCTTTCAGAGTGGGTGAAAATTATACTGGATTTTTTTTTATTATCGTCCATAATATACATTTATGCCATCTAACCAGAAAATTTTAGGGTGACTTAAAATTAATAAATTAGTCAGACATTAGCATAAAAGTTGAGTGTTCCAATTCAATATTTTTTCTTCATAGTGAAAGTTTCAACTGCTTTATGAAAGGAATATTTTCATTTGCCAGTTCATTGCTTAAGGATGATGAGCAAAAGACAGATAAATTAAATGACATGAAAATATTGCATTACGTTTCTGCAGCATTTCACAAATTGGGCTGTCTTACACATGCATGCAATCTGTCTGTACTGTATAGAAAATGGGAAATCAGTAAGAGGACAAGCAGAATTATTGCTTGCCTAATACAAATACAATAGAACAGCAAATAAATCACAGGTTCTGCCATTCATACATTTGAGCCATATTCTGAGATGAACTTTTGAGATCAATAAGTAAATAACTGAAATAGTGGGTTGTTTTGAGCAGGTATTATATATAATGACAGGATGAATTTAAAGATTTATTTTTTATTCTTTTCACTTGGTTGATCATACATATTTCTCTTTTTTGTAGCAAAATTTTACCTCCACAGCCAACATCTTCTACCTCAATTGCTCAGGAACTGGATGATCTTTTGGCTTGCTTAGGAACAATCCAATCCAAGGTGAATAATGGGTTTCTAACCTAAATACATTTTGAAATGAAAACTGATTGTTTATACAAGCAGTAATAAACTCCCAATTCTAGGAGTTGAAGTCCACATATACTGAATTTGCCCAAGGTTGAAAAACACTGACAAATAAATTAAGGAAAGATGCCTACAGCTTGCCTACATTTAAGTTAGCTTGCATATTTCAAATACACATTGACAGGGAAAAAAATCATAAAGGGAGAGTACAGGGTTTAAAAATACTTAAGAAGTAAAAATGGAAGCTATCATGAGTACTATTATTCTGAATGTCTTTAAATTACTTCTCAAGTTGGTTGTGTATATCCTATGCTTCTGTATATATCTAGTTTATTTTATGACTGCATGTTGTTCTTGGCTTTTTTCCCCTGGTCCTACGTCTTTGATCACTGCAGCCTTCTGACTGCCTATGCTTCAGATCTGGAAAGGAACTGTAGGACAGGGTTTTCGTAACATCATCTTGGTAGTTTGAACATAGGAAATTAGGGGAGTGAAAAGCCTTGTACAGATGAGTGTACAAAATAAAACAGAACGCGAACCATGACCTTACTGTATTGCATAATTAAGACTTCTTAGATTTGCTATTCAAATGGAAAAGCATGGTTCTGTTTGTTCCAATTTTTTTTTCAGTAAAGAAAAGATGTGGGGATATATATATGAGAGTTATATGTCATCTAAAATGTTTTATAAAACTGTGTAGATGTTGCAGGTTAATAGATCAATAAAAACCTGTTCTGGAAGCAGAGAAAGTTACTCAAAAAGATAGAGAACTGCAAATTATTCATTCTCCTGCAGGTTTCAGATGACTTGGCCACCTGTGTCCAGTCAACATCAGAAGAAGGGAATACCACTGACAACCTAGACAGCATGTTGAAGAGTTTGACTCATGATATGCAGGACCTTGGTGTTGCTACTGTGCCTAAGGGCAACTGTGCCTTTTGCCACAAACCTATTGCTGGAAAGGTATGCATGGAGATGGGAATTAAGGATCTAGCTATCTGCTCTTTTTACCATTCTCAGTCTCACTGAGATTGCTACAATCAATTGCTTATTTGTCACACTTTTAAACTGCATGGCATGTATAGCTAAGAAGGCAAATTAGAGTGTCTTCTTTTGCAATTTTATTACTGAGAATCTGTATGTCTTAGCTAAAGAGATTCTATTGCTCGCTAAGCTAATGAGGGGAGATTGATGTAAAACAGAGCACCTTTAAGAATATGTAGCTTCTGTGTAGAGAAAGAAGTATCTTTACCCAATATCTTCAACTAAACCTTTAATGAATTCTAGGTGGTTACAGCTCTGGGAAAGATATGGCATCCTGAACACTTCACATGTGCTCATTGTGGAACAGAAATGGGTTCCCGGCCATTCTTTGAGCGGGACAACACAGCTTACTGCCAAGAAGACTACCATCAGCTCTTCTCTCCTCACTGTGCTTACTGTACTGCACCTATCAAAGAGGTATGGATCACTGTTTCTGCTTGATCAACTGCCTTCATTGGAAGGACCTGCTTCAAAACCTCATCCCAAGAAAGCAGGGCTTTCTGGAATGGAACAACTCCATTCCAAAAGGAACTTTTATTAGGAGAAGCTGACAGCAGGCAAAGAAAGCAGGATCTGAGGGTTTCCCACTCAGATCAATAGGTTAAAGGAGCATCAAGCAAACCCCACCCCAATAGTTCATCCGGTCAGTTCAAACGAGCCAATCCCTAGGTGTTCAGTCTGCTGTGGGAACGGAGCTGATAACAGAGTCCGTTCCCATGCTTGTGAAGATGTTGTTGGGTCTTCGCACCTTCTCTTCCCTAGCGAGAGATAAGCCACATGGCCGGAGGCACATTCCTTTCTCACCCCAGGTTGACATCAAGGGGGAACAGTTCAAAGAGCAAGCGGATAGGAAAGACAGAGAGGATACATTATAGTTAAGCAAAAGGAGAAATGATGCATTCCGTAGAGCCTCCCCCCTGTCCCCAGGAGAATGACAGAACCCACAGGAAGAAACCGAAAGAGAACAGAACCACCCCCCCAACAAAGAAATGGGTTCTGACATTCATAATTGGTCCTAAACATTAGCTATCTGGGGCTAAAGATAAAATGATGCCACCCTCCCTATTCCATGTACCAAAGATGCCCAAGCAGCAGTGGAATTGCACTTTCAGCACTAAGGATGTAAAAACCTCTTTCGCCGAATCTGGTCATCTAGCCAAAGGTCTGCAAGACAGGCTGCAAAGTTCCCATGGTTTTGCAATTCAGCACCTCACTGCTGTCCTGTATGATCTGCCCATTAATGTAGATGTTTCTGTTTGCCTACTGGAAGCTTTGTACCTGAATTTTCCCTGTTTCAGAGTAGGGGCAAGCTCGGGATATACCTTTCGTGCCTGCCATCTTTTCTTTGTCATATATACCAGTAACACTATTCCAGTAAAGCTTTCTTGTTTTCTTTGCAGAAAATCCTAACAGCTATGGATCAGACTTGGCACCCTGAGCATTTTTTTTGTACACATTGTGGGACTGTGTTTGGCGATGGTGGTGAGTCATTATTTCTCAGAGTTCCTGACTTGGCTTTTGCAAGCTTGTTTAATGTCTATATCTATTGGTATAAATATAATCTAGGTAGATGAGTGTGAAACATTTCTAAGTAGAAGTATTCTTACCCACAAATGTCTCATTCCTACACTGCGGGAAGTGATTCAATATTATGCACAAGCAAATAAAAAAATTGAGGATGTCTTGTATATGAATTTACAAAGGAGAAAATGGATGGAGCATTTTTAAAGATGGAAAATGCCACTAGAAATTTGCCAGTAGGATGGAGTAAGGAATCTTGTTGAAAGAGGCAAAAATGGCTGTGAATAAATGTATGCTTTTTGTCCACATTTGTTATATAGAAGTCAGAATTTTTATATTTCAGGAGAAATATACAAATGCAGAGGAAGTGGGGTGTTTACATGTACAATAAAACAAGAAAAGATAGGATCAAGAATGAATGAAAGAACGAACGAATGAATACGTGAGTGAATGGGTACTGAATGAATGTGGACTGGATTAAAAAATGAGAGTACTAAAGAAGTACCCGGTATCGTAGTTTTCTTTGAATGCATTTTATCTCTCCTGAGTGTAAGCAATATACAGAGCATCAGAGGGGAGCACTGATTAAAGTGTTTCAATTTCATTTTTGCTGGATAGCATGTTGCAAATAATTATTTTTTTCTGCTTGACAAACAACAATCAGAAAAGCATCAGCACACTCACAGTGGGATTTGATCACAGACTAGCACTAATAGGACACTGAAGTCCAGTAATTAGCTCCTAGGGGAATCCCTGAGCCCATATCGGTAAACTCGGGTCCCCAAGCTCCTAATTAGAACTAGAATGCAAAAAGTTTTACAGGTCAATTTAGAGATGAGCTGGATTCTATCTAAATTAAGTCTTTTAAACAACCCAAGGGCACTATTCGTTCTTTCTTGGCCATGTGGGAGGATTTCCCCTGAGCATTACTCAGAATTATTGCTTCATGATTTTCGAAGCAACTTTCAGAACTTTATTGCATTGGCAGCAATTTCTTCATCTTTGGTGTGGTAACCGCATTGTGCAATTATGGATGGTTTCTCTTGAAACATGTAAGAATTGCAGAAGTTTAGCAAAAGATTATCTGACCCCATGGTGAACCAAATTATATTTTTACCAGTATGAACGGTAGCAAGCTGGTTAGTGGCATGAGCAGGGGTGATTTGTACAATTATCATTCTCTTCTTGACTGTGGTTGTGAATTCTGATTCGGCAGCAGAAACTTTTTATTTATTTAATCAAGTTTATTTATTTTACCTTAACATGTTTTATAAAGAGAAATACAGGTAGTCCTCGACTTATGACCACAACTGAGCCCAAAATTTCTGTTGCTAAGTGAGAGAGTTGTCACGTGAGTTTTGCTCCATTTTATGATCTTTCTTGCCACAGTTGTTAAGTGAATCACTGCAGTTGTTAAGTTAGTAGCATGGTTGTTAAATGAATCTGGCTGGCCCATTGACTTTGCTTGACACAATTTATGGACTGCAACTATCATATGTCCATCAGTTGCCAAGTGTCTGAATTTTGATGACATGAGTATGATGATCCTGCAATGATTGTAAATGTGAAAAATGGCCATAAATCACTTTTTTCAGTGCCATTTTAACTTCAAACCGTCACTAAATGAACTGTTGTAAGTTGAGGACTACTTGTACAGAAAAATGGGGAAAAGAAAATGTAAAAAATAAAAACACTTTATTCCCAAAAAATTATATTTGAAGTCAAGAAAAGTCCTTAAAATAGTCATTGTAATAATAGGTTTAATTTAACTGTTTTCCAGATTCTGCTCACATCTGTCCAATAGATTTTTGGTCCCAATTTTTGAAACAGAATTATTCCATAAATAACTATTTCTCTAAATATCAATGGGCCTTAACATAAAAATCCAGTCTACAAACCAACAGAGCTCAAACATATCTTGCAGCTCACAGTCTCAGAAACCAAACACCCTTCCAGCTGTGTTATCAGTCCCAGCAATTAATGGAAATGAGCAAAAGCTTTCCAATAAAGCCAACAAAAGCTGATTCACTGCTGAATTTTCATTCCACATAAATATATTGTACTGTAATAAAAAAAAATAAGCTCAATTATATTTTTGAAAAGTTGCTAAATTAAAAGTACTTTCTTCAAAAGCGATTTTTAATTAGGCCAATAAATTCTAGTTGTTCTATTTTCTTATTTAACTTTCCTCAACAATTTATCAATTTCAAGAAACTATCTGGAATTAACATTGAAATTGTCAGGCATGAGAAACCAGGTCCACACATGCGGGTTCAATTTAGCTGATTTATTGCTAAAAACCTATGCATAGAAATGTTCTCAACTAACGGTTAGCACCTGGTTAGAGCTAAGTTAAGTTTCAGTGGGGTCTGGATGCAGTTCATCTGAGGTTACATAAAGACTCTAAAGCAGGGGTGTCAAACTCGCAACGTCACATAGCGTGGCACGGCGTATTGTGACTTTTTCCCCATTGCCAGAGCTGGGGTGGGTGTGGTTTTCGGCATGATGCATCCAGCCTGCGGGCCGGCAGTTTGACACCCCTGCTCTAAACTGATCCCTCTTTTTACCCCTTCCCCAGGTAACCCTGACAACTACCATCCTGTAACTAAAGTTTATCTAAAATCAGTTGGTTTGTGAGAACTTTTGCACAGGATTGCCAATAATAAATTTCCATCCACTTAATAATAGGAAACAGGAACTCATATCTACACATTAGCCGCATAAGATAATTAATCCAGGCCATAACAAGAGCTTTTACAGAATCTAAAAACACAGTACAGCAAAGTCTGTTGTACCTTGAGTTGAATCCAAAATATCATTAATAAAGATAAATGACCTGATGTCTATTTTTGTCATGACACTTCATAAGTAATTATGCTCTTAAATTTAGAAGACCACTTCATTAGCCTTAGAACTTGCGTTAATCTTCTCTTGAGCAGGTTTTATATCACTATAATAGCTATTTACTCAGCAATTCCTTTGTCACTGTTTTCCTTGGAATCTACATCACTGGGATCACTATAGAAGTAGAAGTATCTAAGCTTAATAGAAGCTGTCTTTGGGAAATTCTGGTTGAGGTAACACCTTTTGCAGATATTACCCATTCCTAATCAAACGTTCCTATCTTTAGTATAAATGGTTTCAAAGGAAGAATTCAACAAACTTTAAAGAATAATATATTCTATATTCCTATGCATAGCCTGAAGTTATGCCTTTTTTGGCATAACAAGTATATTTTACATCCAGTTGCTTCTTTCATGAACATCTCATTCATAACTTCTAATGTAATTGAGTAAATTTCTCAAATAAGGATGTTCAGATCTGGTTAGTACTTCAGTAAAAAAAGACCAGTTGGAAAACTGAGGTCCATAGATCAGACAGAGCAATAATCAACCAATCAATCAATCCTGGAAAAAGACAATGACAATCCATTCCCATAGTGCTGCCAAGAAAACTGAATACCCATATTCATAAAGTCATCTGAAATCAAGCTTGATTTTTTTTTACACTGCACACAGTCTTAGTAACTGAGGAGAAAACTTGTTCACTCTAACCTTATAACAGTATTCTATAATCTTCCTGAGGCCTTAATAGCAAATTAAATCAATTTATCAAGGATGAGATCAGTATAGGAAGACTAAGCAAATTCACTGGAAACAGTGTATAAATGCCTTTTTAGAGATTGTGGAGTCCCAAAAAAAAAAGCATACTAAAAAGCAGAGACATCACCCTGCCAACAAAAGTGCATATAGTCAGGCCATGATTTTCCCAGTTGCAATGTATGGCTGTGAAAGTTGGACCATAAGAAAGGCTGAGTGCCAAAGAATTGAGGCCTTTGAACTATGGTGCTGGAGAAGACTTCTGCGAGTCCCTTGGACTGCAAGATACTCAAACCGGTCAATCCTAGAGGAGATCAACCTTGACTGCCCTTTAGAAGGCCAGATCCTGAAGTTGAAACTCAAGTACTTTGGCCACCTAATGAGAAGGAAGGACTCACTGGAGAAGAGCCTAATGCTGGGAAAGATTGAGGGCAATAGAAGAAGGGGACGACAGAGAATGAAGTGGCTGGATGGAGTCACTAAAGCAGTAGGCGTGAACTTAAATGGACTCCAGAAGATGGTAGAGGACAGGAAGGCCTGGAGGAACGTTGTCCATGGGGTCGCGATGGGTCGGACACGACTTCACAACTAACAACAACAACAAAAAACCAATTATCTACCTAAAAACCCTCACACTATAGTTTCTCCTCACAAATTGTGCTATAAAATATCCCAAGCATTTAAGTATGTAAGATTGGTAATAAACAAAACAATTTCCTTTTGTTAGCAGCAACCTGTAGCTTTCACTTCCAAATTCTATATAAGGAAGTTTAGATAAATATACCCTTGAGTTGAGCTACATGAAAACAGCCATGCATTTTTCTTGACCACAGTACCAAAAGACAGTTGTCACTGCCTCTTAGAATATTCTTCATCTTCTCAGTTTTATCTAAAAAGTAAATATTTAGCAAATTGAGCTGAACTCCTGATGACTGCATACTTGCCGTTTTAAGGCCTGGGATATCTGGGTAGTATCTCACTCAAATATTAACCATACTAATATTTCTTAAACAAGGTATTGCACCAGATGAGAGATAGTAAACATTTAGAGGAAATCAAATTGCAGATGTTCCTAATATCAAACTCTATCTTTAATGGCTTCTCATTTAAAGCTCATCCTTGTTTTTGCTTCAAAATCTTTTTCAAAAAAAATCCTTCACTTTTCTGCATCACAGCAATTTGCCTTTATTGTAGTGATGATTTTTTCTTTAAGCTATATAAGGAGTCTTAGGCTTTCTTGAAACAGAGCAAATCTAAAAATCTAAATGTTCATGTTTATCTGTTTTGTGTGAAAGATAAGGGGGCAGAACTTAATGTACCAGAATTCTGTCTAGAATGGTTTATCTGCACTGATAATGTATCTGTTCTTGGCTTAACTTCTTGGAATCCTCTTGTGGTCATAACAGCAAATCGTTTAGCCTTTACTAATTGATTTAGTAACTCTTAAACTTTCTGATACAGCCAGATACAACCAGCTCATGCAAAGCACCTACATCGATCATAGAGCCTCCTATTGAAAATATTTGTCACATAACATCTTGTGAATGCCCTTTCTTTATTATAGTTTTTGTAAATTAACATATGCATTAACAGATTAACAGCATGCTTGTATTTTTTGTTCAAACAAAGTATTTCATTCTAGTACAATATGAAACCTTTAGCTGGAGCAGAATTGTCTTGTAAAAAGTGGCCAGGTTTTTCCCCCCCTCGAAAATATAAAGCTCCATTATACTCAGAAGGGTGCAGGAAAGCATATCGGCATCATTTTCTTTGTCCAGCTTGGTCGCCAATTCATAGAATGTATAGAAATCCCTCCATGCTGAGTTTATGCATACTACACAGACTCTCTATATACATTGGCACAAATGAGATCTCAGAACATCCTGAGTGTTGCTGCTCCACAGAGATATGAGGTCATTTTTGCCAGTTTATCGCGCCTTTTCTGTTTCATCTTAAAAGGCTACTCCGGTGAATCAGATTATAATAACATTTCTTTTACTAAGCTATGCAATGAAATAATGCATAATAAATAATTATTAACAAATCATTAATTATTATTAATCAACAATAAATAATAAAGTTAAGACTTGGACTAGAAGACCTCCAAGGTCGCTTCCAGTTCTGTTATTCTGTGTTCTGTAAGACAATGTTGTAATTCAGTCTTTAAACCTTGGAAACCAGCAGAAATATTTAGTCACTGTCTGTCTATCTAGCTATTTATGGTATACAGAAGGTAACTATCCAAGATACATTCTAACTGGAGGTTCCTGGCTGCCTTTGGCTGAGAAACTCAGTCCTTATCAGTCTGGCTCCCTGAGTACACCTCCTCTGGCTGTGAGTGGAGGCTCATCTGGAAATAGAGAATGAAGGGTGTGACAAGAACACAGGGGTAGCTTCATTGCCCATCATACAGACACTGAAGTGCAGCCTTATGTGGCCATTTTGGACACTTTTTTCCCAGGAAGCAATCAAGCTACCATTATTCAAAAACCCCAGCAAATAAATAGACTTAGGGCACATGTGGTCATGGTCACAATATTATACACAACCTATAACCAAATTCTTTGCCCGCTTATCTCAATTCATCATTGCTTAGCCATAGCTATTCCATTACAGGTGTTATTTTTAGAACTAGACTTTTTAATTTGTAAGTCATTCATGCATGCATTAAAATGTATTGCTTCCTTTATTGTATATTGTAGAATATCACAATCTGTTTTTAATTTTTAATGTTTAATATTCTGTAAAGCCAAAAAGAAACAAGAATATAAAATAACAGTGCCAAACTGTCAACATTTAATCATAGATTACTTATGACATTCAATTTATCAATAGAAGAGTTATTATTAGTAGCACAATATTATTATTAGTATTTAATTTTTCCAGAACCAATAAAAATGTGATTCATCGCTTAGAGAAGTCAGCATTCAAATTTTATCAGTCACTTTTTCCATAAGAACAATTAACCATACTTTTGCATGCCAATTATTCAATGATAAGTTATCTAGAAATTTCAGTTTTGAGCAACTTTCAATTCTGCAGCCAGAAGTAAGAATATAATAAGCTCCTTTTTATTTAGAATTATCTCCCTCAATAATATGCAATAATCACAATGTAATCATTCAATTCCACAATGTGAATTGAACACATTCTACTTTTTGTTTAGTTATTATTCTTTTGTTTGTTGTTATTCTAACTTCTTTAAATAGTATCTTCCAGGAATTCACTACCTTTTCATAAGTCTACCGCAACTGAAAAAAATATTCCTTTCTGATTCTAAGCCCTATAACAATTTGATGAATGACTATGGATCATTCATGCTAATCTAGTTAGAGTTAAATGCTGGTGATGTAATATCTTCCACTGCATTTCTTGTATGAAAGCTAAGAGAAAGCCATTAATTACAGATTCCTTTCTACCAGTCTCTTAAGTCTCCATTTCTCTTTTCTTCCTGTCTCTATCCTGTTTCTTCCTGCCTTTATGGCAAAACATGCATCTGTAAGAACTCATAAAAACAACTATATGTCAAAATAGTTCTTGCTTTGTAGCAAGATCTTTAACAGATCAGAGTTGAACTAGGCTGAAGATCAGGGACCCTAACAAAAGAGTCTCTCCTTTCCTACTGCTTTTCCAATCAAAGAGATAGCATGCCTTTGTGTCTGTGTGAGAGGAATTCACTGTTTTTAATTATTATCTTCCCAAACCTTTTCCTGTAGTTTACCATGTGAAAGATGGAAAGCCATACTGCGAGAAAGATTTCCAGAGCATTTTTTCTCCCAAATGCAGAGGCTGTGATCGTCCTGTGATGAATCAATATTTGTCAGCTCTGGATGCTGTATGGCACCCTGAATGTTTTGTGTGCAGAGTAAGTATGTAGACGTACGGTAGTTATGGGACATTTATGTGGGGGCATTTGGGTTAGTGGTACAGCCAATATTTAAGGGGCTCTAAATAGACTTTGGTCACAATCTTGAATATAATTAGACTTCTTAAATCCCCAGCTAGTTAATTTGTTATTTGTATTTTGCTATAGGAAAGTCTCTCAAACTAAAAATATTAAAATCTGATATTAAACCTGTGCTATAAAGCATGTGTGTATTTTTGTGTGTGTACACACATACCTACATATATACACATACACACATATACCCACTATCCAAATATTGGTGGCAGCACATTAGTTTTGTTAAAAGGGGAAGACGCTCTGCAACAGTTTGAACTGTCATATTAGCAGAAAGTGGCTCCATTCTTGAGTGTCTATATGTTGACCTGGATTCCTGCATTGAAAAACCTTGGGCAGGATTAGCTGTTTTTGTAAGCTTCTATCCTGGATGGGTTTATGTTTCAAACATAATTCCAAGAAGAAAATGATGAATTAGAGGGGAAAAAAACCAGCCAAACTTATTTATTTTAAATAGTAGTGGACTAGCAACCAATGTGCCCTTGCCCAATGCAGCACTGGGAAGAATCTAACCGTATGCCAATCTCAGAAATATTTTTTTATGCCCTGACACAGGCTCCTTTCCTCTGTTTTCAGGATTGTTGCTGCAGTTTTACTGATGGTTCTTTCTTCGAACTAAAAGGCCAGCCCTACTGTGAGCTTCACTTCCACCACCATCAGGGAACAGTGTGCCATGGTTGTGGAAAACCGATTGTTGGGCGATGTGTCAGTGCCATGGGGCACAAGTTTCACCCAGAGCACTTTGTTTGTGCCTTTTGCCTTACTCAGTTGTACAATGGTATTTTTCAGGAGCAGAATGGTAAAACCTACTGTGACTCTTGCTTTAAAAAACTCTTTGTTTAACTTCAAAGTATGTGAAACATTACTCTTCCCAAGAATGTTAAGACTGTAAGCCTCAGGACAATTCCTTGACGTATAGAGCTTCCTGAGATTTTCTCTTGAGTAAAAAAAAAACTCCACCAAATTAGGCAACATTAAATATTATCGCACACTATTACACTTTAATGTTTTCAAATTAATCAGCTGTTAGGCATGTACCTTTTGTGTTGAACTTAAATAACTTTACTAGAATTCATTATCTGGGTATTTGTGTTTTTTAGAAACATTAAGAGCAGCTTCTCTCTCTCTCTCTCTCTCTCTCTCTCTCTCTCTTTCTCTCTCTCCATACACACATAAACACACATTAAAATGAAACAAAATAGTAGCTTCTTCTCTGAAAAGTTTTTTGAGTTTTTTTTCAGCTGATAATAAGTTGGTTTTTTAACTAATACATATTCATCTGCAGAAATATCTTTCATTATTTCTATCATTTTTGTAACTAATAGCAGAAACCTATGTTATCTTGAAGTAGATATGCTGTAAATTATAGAAAATCTTTCAAAAGTCACTTAGGCTTACTTCCTGATCAGGATGGATAAAACTGTTCTGAGTAGGATAATCTCATTTAAAATTTTGTTTAGATGACAAGGGGAAGATATACCAATGCATCTTGAAATCAATGGCTTTTTAGTGCTAGACTTGGGCAAAATTGCATTACAGATGCAAGTATAGTCTGTGGAGTAAACGATATGGAAAGGGTGTACTTCTCCCTGTGCTACACTACATCTTGCCCATCTGATTCTGCTCATTCTGATTGGCTCAGGCAGCAGAGTTCCATTAAGGTATCTTTTATATAAATAGCTCATCTCTCAGGGTTAGTATCATAATGCCCTAGCAAAATCAGTCATCTATCTTTTTAATCTGCTAAATCTTATGTACAGTATGTATGCAAGCAGCCTCTTGCCAGATTATTTGAATATTCATCCTCCGCTTAATCTTCTTAAATTGTCATACACACTGATGAAGTATGTCTTTGTTATCTTCGCTTCTAAACAATTAAATGATACACAAAGAGCAATAAATTTTATTTTCTTGTTGGTCATATGTGTTTGATTTTTGACAGTATTTTGCATGCAAATCTGATTGATGCTAATCAGCCTAAAAATAAGAAGTAACCTTTCTACTATGTTAAGATAAGATGATAAGATAAGATAAGATAAGATAACCTTTATTGCCATTTTTTTACTGTGGACACAACGGCACACATCAAAAATGAAATTTAGTTGCCCGCTCTCAAAGTGAAACACATGACACACACCTAAGCATACTATGAACAACATATGTATAGACCCACATCCCTACATATACATAATAAATAAATATTAAATACTGTCCATCTTGAATATATAACAGGAGGAGGAAGCTTGAGAGTTCACAAGGTTAATGCTGTATGGAATGAAACTCTGGCTGAATCTGGATGTTCTCCTTCGGATACCACGAAGCCCCCTCCTCCCAGAAGGTAACAAGGAAAACAGGTCATGAAGAGGATGTGTAGTGTCACAGATGATCTTACGGACCCTGCTCAAGCAACACTTCTGTGCTATGTCCTGGATGGGAGGGAGGGAACTATTAGGGTTGGCTCTAACAGCACAAATTTATCTAAAAAATAAAACTAGGAATGAAAGATCCAAAAGAGATGCAATAATTCAACAAGAATAATGTTAACAAGAAAACAAATGTAAAAATTAAATATAAAAGCAGAATCAATCACTGCATATCCTAATGAAAACAGAGTAGTCACAAAGTACATAACGGCATTCTTCAAGAAGTTGTTGAAATATTAAATACACATCATTTGTATTTATTTCATATAAATAATAAATAAAATAAAATCTGAGTCAATTCACCCAGCTTGCTTAATATGACATAAAGATGGCCCATTTCCTGTTTTACATGGGCATATTCTCATAGTGGAGCCTCAATCTCATAGGTAGCCCATCGCTGAGGTGGGCTGAAGCCACTTACATGTTCCAACTTGTAAATTGATAGTTTCTTTTTTATGATGCTTTGCAAAATTAATTCTGAACATGTTGCACTATCTTCTAGAGAATCCAAGGCCTTTGAATTAGTTATATAAACCCTGGCAATTTATTCTTTGAAAGGGCAGATAGAATAGGCTTTCGACTTCCAAAATTACTGCTCTCAAAATATTGAGAACATGATGGACAAGAAAGAAATGATGTTAATTTACAGTAAGTTGATTGTTATTCAAATATTTACATTTTAACAATAAAATTTAAGTCTCTAGTCTAATAGTATTGAATTGCACAGCTGTACCATTTCTTTCTGCATTGCATGATGAATTTCCTAGATAATGGATTGCACTTGCCTTACATAATTTTTTACTAGGGTTGATTTTAACAGCCTACATTTAACCAAACAAGAAAACTAGGAATAAAAGATCAAAAAAGAGATGCAATCGACCTGTGTAACAACAGAACAAATGTGAAAGTAAAGATAAAAGCAGAATCAGTCACCATATATCCTAATGAAAACAGAGTGGACACAAAATTCATAATGGAATTGTTCAAGAAGTTGTTGAAATATTGAATACACATAATTAGCATTTTTTCATATAAAATAAAAATAAAGTCCAGGTCAGTTCAGTGAACATGAACATAAACATGTGTACATGGATGGGCTTCATTTTCATAATCTTATTCATCATTAAGCTGGGGGTAAGAAATACTTCATAGTTGAGGTTCTCTCTGGAATTGCCTCCCAATAGCTGCTGTTTAGTCCCCCAGAAATTTATAGAGGTCATCCACACGGCTTGCTTATCATGACATAAAGATGCTCCATTTCCTGTTTCCCCTTGGCATCTTCTCATAGTGGAGCCTCAATCTCATAACCTGCTGAGGCAGGTTGAAGCTGCTTACAGTGTTCCAACTTGTAAGTAATATTGTTTGTGCTCTTTTGGGAGAAGACTCCCATGCAAACAACCTAGTGGACATGGAGGAGGGACTGAAAATGGCAGTGATCTTCTGGGCAACATCTGTTCTGCTGTAGGACTCTTATGTGGCTGGAGGCTTTTGGCCTCCAGGGCCAGTTTTCTTGTTGCTGCATGAGGAATCTGAAATGTCAATGGCACAGACTTTGTGTCTCTGGATGTATGTTGCTTGCTCATGGGAGTATAGTCTCATGGAAGATCAATTAGATCTAATGGAAGATCAATTAAAGGAAATGAGCCATTGTGGAGCACTCTACCGCTGGAAGGAAGAACTGCTCCGCCCTTTTCGCCTTCTAGAAGGCAATTAAAACTTGGCTTTGACAGTTGGCTTGAGGCTCTGAAGGAGCGCTCACTGCTAGAGTGGTTGACGGGATAAGAAGACCACATCCCCATCCCGTCCATTTCTTAGTTTGGGTTTTTTGAATAGTTTGTAAAATTTTAATCCGCTTAGTTTTAAATTGTTAATATATTTTAATTGTTCTTCTATTTGTTTATAACCTGTAAGCTATCCATGTTCATGTTATACGGGAGATGGATGGCATAAAAATTGAATAAATAAATAAAATTTTTAAAGTAAATAAATAAATCAATAAATCATACGTTTTACACAAAATTATTATTATGACAGACCCACAAAAGCAAAAGTTTCACAAATGCTTCTTTTCCCCTGGAGGTTAGGTATCAGCTGATTTTTTTTTTTTAATGAAAACTTTTGCATTGCTGTAGGAATTTCTGCATGATTTTCAGCTCCTGCGTCACTTTGAAGGATCTGCCACATTGGATACCAATCTGGTGGGGAGCTTCAGTGCAGTTGTTAGCAGCAAAAAAAAAAAAAAAAAAAGCCTCAAGCCTAAACTGCTAGGGTGGTCTATATTTCCCAGCTTTTGTTCCAACAAACCACCATGTAGGTCATGTAGACCAGGATTAAAGTCCTCTGGACAGAAGATGACGTTCTTCTCACAATTTTAGAACCTGCTGCTTAGATATCATTGCTTCTTCTCTTGCTCTGATCTATTGGCCACACACTTTTCTGATGAATATTGTTTAGTCAATATAATTTCCCTCACCTAGAATAGTTTCTTCACTAGAGCATATTCTTTACAGCTCCACATTTCTTCCTTCCTCAACTGGAGAAAGATGTAAAAAGAAAAACCTACACATAGGTCCCTACTGTAATAGAACTGAGCTGAGCTGGCCACTGAATGTAAGAGTAATTAATTCAGTACTGACGTTCAGCACTATAATCTTCTCCATGTCAAACAGGATTTGGTGCATGCCATTCAAAAGCATTTCCATAAATTCTGAACATTTTGGTGGCCACATCCCAATGCCTTGCGTTCTTTTGAACCTGACAGCAGTGTTTTCACGTATGATAGTAGTAACTGCTATCTACTTAGATGTCAATGGCAGTGCACTTCAATGGTTCAAATTTTTTGTTTTCTCATTCTTTATAATATAATATAACAATATAATACAACATACAATACAATATAACATGGTGGATTTCAGCCCTGAAAATTTCCTCAATATAGAATGTATCTCTCATAAATCCTGAATTCTATTATGTTTATAAGCTTCAAAATTATTTTAGTATCATTGTTACAATGCTATTTATTGCTCCTTGGTGATCTTTGATCATGATGCATAGACAAAAGAGATGTAATCTTCATCTTATCCAGTTGCTTATCCTATCACCTTAATGTGGATAAATCAGAGACTGCCATGTTTAGCATGAATATCCTTTCCAGCTTCTAGTGTGTCATCCCCCATTAGTTTCTTCCCCTAAGCTCCACAGGATCACAACTGATGAACACCTGATTGTTCCCTTTTATTGATTGTTGAAACCTACTCACATCTTGGCAGTTCTTAAGTTAATAACTGTTTTAATTTTAATCAATATACAAACACTATCATATTGCAGGATATAACAATGGCTATGGTGCACATGATTGTATAGCTATAAAAGAATTCATTTCTGATTTTGTGCTTTTTGATAAATTATAATAGGATTTATAAATTTCTTTTAAAAATCTATATTTATTTATAGGGTTTCAGCTTTCTTTGTGAATAGGTACATGAAGCTATTTATATACATACTAAATATTCATATGCATCTGAAATGTGACAATAGTAAGATCAGGTCCTGATTATTATGCCATATAATCATAAATACGGACGAGAGAAAAGAGTATCCCCAGCACAAAAAGATTGTTCAGAAATATTGTTTAAGTTGATCGTTTCTTCTTCATAATGCTTTTCAAAGCTAATTCTGAACATGATGCACTAGTTTTT